TACCAATGCTTATCACGCATGGTTATGATGGTAGGCAGAGCTTAACCCAAGAAGAGAATCACTTCTATAGACAGTACTTTAAAAGTCCGGAAGGAAAAGTACTGACACAGTTACCCATAACTGCAAGTCATAGGGTCTTTAGTGGGTCAATGAAGCTTTCAACAGTCAATTTTCAAAAAAACCTTTTGTCACTTACAGTCAAAAGTTTTCGCAAAATTAGTGGATCTGACTGGTACCTGCAATAACAGTATTTTTATCAAGACCGATTTTGTCTGGATGTAAATGTGAGGAGAAGTAAGTATGACCAAGAAGTCAAATCGAGCTATGTCTATGCACTTACAACAAGTGGTAACCGGTCAACGGAAACCAAAGAGGCCGATTTATACCTTCGTAACGTGATGGAAACACGTTATTTCAAAGGAATAAGAAAAATAGTTGCCAAAATTGCAAAGTTGGCTAAATTATCCATGAAAATTGTTCATAAGTAGTGTGATTTTAGACCAAGGAGCTGGAACAATCTCTAGTTCAACCTGCTTTACAGTAATCCACATACTAGTGATGGCTCAAATTCTACTTTGATATTAATTACACAAAAAAGCATTGCAGTCACGAAGGTTGGGATAAACTTAAAATAGCAAAATAAAACGTAAACTTACGTGTCGCCGCAAAAGTATTTGTTGTGCTAAGTGGTCAATAATCCAAGATGGGCAAATCCTTTTTACCTCTGCTATATGATTCACTTTTCCAGTTCATGAAAAGGAAAAAGCACTTGTTTCGGCAAACAGAGAGAAATAATCACTATTAGTTAAACCACCAAAGTTCAATTTTTTAGAGTAGTCACTGCCAACCTAACTTGAGTGCACCAATTAAACTGTCAGAAGACGAGGATGGTTTGGCGCCTAGTTCAGAATGTCCATCACATTTTCACTCTGGCAAGAAACAACATAATATCACATATATTTATGCTCTACGTATTTTATAGCTAACATTACATCGTCAGTAGAGTGAAAATTTATTTTGTAAGTCATGCTTTCAGATACATCGTTTGCACTTTCTTAATGGGCAAAGAGCTTGTAATCCATTTTATCCCAACAGGTAGAAAATGTGATGTCATTTATCTACTTGGACTGTCTTTAGTTGACTTTGTTGTCCAGTCAGAGGCGACCATCAAGAAGCCCTAGACCTTGGTTTCATGCTTGCTAACGCTGGTTAGCACTATGCACTCATAATTTTGTGGAAATTGAACCTGGATTATATGGTGGTGTGATTAGATACATCGTCACTGAGTTACCTGGAAGGCGATTTTCCTCAAGCAGAAGTCCACTAAGTACAATGATCACTTACTAGACAGGGATCATTTGCAGAGCTATCAAGAAAGGCTTTATGTTGGTGTATCAAAAAAGAATGCAGTGAAAACTATCGGCTAGAATCGAAGTGATGGAAAGTAGTAAAAATGATGTTAAACGTTTTGCTTTCCTTTGATAGCAGTCATGAAGTGGCCACTAACACCACATTATAAAAAGTTTGTTAACCCCAGTCTACTTCAAAATAATGTTAATAAATTACTGTTGATTGAAATAGAGTTTGTATAACAACAGTTACTAGATACAGTTCATTCGAAACTGGTGAAACGATGAAAAAAAAGGAAAAATGACATGGTGAAATGAAACTAATTCGTAGGCAAGCATTTTACGAAAAAGAATAAGAAAATAGATTGTCAGATGAGCATCTAAAAACTTAACTGACTGCAAGCTAACAGTTCAAATCAGATAAAATTCTGAATGCCGACTAAGTCTACCAAATCTTTTCCACACTTAAAAGTACAAAGGAAGGAATGATGCTTTTGCTAAAACTACTAGGGATGCATCAAAGTTTCTGTCTTAAAATGTCAGCTTAATTCACGGGCGATAAAGCCTGCAATACAACTGATAACATGCATCAGGTTACCGCTATAAAACCTTTCTCAGTGCTTAACCTACAAAAGAATGTGCATATACAGTGAACTGGTGAAATTTTATGCATCTTTGAAAGATTGGTATTGTGGAGTGGATTAATATATTATCAGTAAATTTTTCTCGTACTTGGTACTCATTCTGACTTACATGCTGAAAAGCAGGATACTTCATGAATTCGTAATGTCTTCTGGAAATAATCACATCCCGAATTCCTTAATCTACCCAGAAAGTACGTAGGTTTGCTTGCTGTTTATGCACATATACCCTTAGACGTAAGGTTTATTACTTATAGTAATGATGGGCAGTGGCTAGTAGTGGAATCCAGGATACTGTCTTCATTTTTAGTGTTTCCACTTCTGTTATACAACTATATATTTGATTGAGACAGTTTACCAAATAGTCATGCACTCTAATCTGTTTATATTTTATCTTTACTGCTAATTTCACAAAGTTTTTCTACACACTCCGGAAGACTGCCTGGATCATACAAGTTGTTTCAACTTTGTCTAGTAATATCTTTCCAGTGTTTTATATGACTCGTGTAAACTGGAATCTCAAGACAATGTGTGTGAAATGTTCGACTTTCCTGTAGTAATTAATTATTTATTTTTTCATGTATCATGCAAGTGGTGAGAAACCAGAGAAACAAAATAGATACTGAAAATTCTCCTAGGCTTTGTGAAAGTTAATTAAACGGTCTGGAAGTGCGAACTAAAAATACTCAGTGCGAATTTGGATTAAAGCAAGTGCAGTGAGTCTTACTGGAGAACTAGCAGACTATGAACATAATAAGAAATCACGTCTATCACTGAAGTCCCAATAGGAAATATGAATCCATGAGGTATGTTTGTTAGATATATTAGTTGAATGCTAGGTTCACAGTTATAACTACAGCAGTTTTCTAAACACTTTAGACAGGAAAGATTATTTAGAAAGCATTTAAAGATATATTAACTGTCTGCTAACCTGAGAATCTCATTTTTGTACCTTGTAGCTTCAGACACTAACCGACAGAAAAGTATTAGATCAAATTTACATGCTGAGAGTCTCTTCAAATGAACACTTCAGTCCCTAAGTAGAGTTGGAAACCAGAGACCATTTGTTATAGATCTATAGAGAGATCTATCAGGTTTTCTGTTTATTTCAGTCACTATCTCCAAGAATAACGTGGTGGACTGGATCATGCAGCAAACAGTAGGCAGCGAGAAGAGGGGGATACGCTGGACGACGGAAAAGAACCTAGAAGACTTGGATTTCGCCAACGATGACTTATGCCTAATGTCACATAAACTTGAAGATCTGCAGGCAAAAACTAACAAGTTGATAGAAGAGGCAGGTCAGCGAAGACGGGACTTCAGGTGAATATAGAAAAGACAGAAGTGATGAAGATACCGCACCACCACCATCAACAACAACAACAAACTCCAATCACCGTCAACGGGAGAAACTTGAAGGAAGTAACCTCCTTCACTTATCTAGGAAGCACTGTTTCAACTACAGGTGGGACGGACGAGGACGTCAAAGTCAGAATCGGAAAAGCAAGACAGGTGTTCATTAGCCTGAAACCGGTGTGGAGATCTTCTGCACTCAGCATGCGGAACAAGATACGGATTTTCAACACCAACGTCAAGTCAGTGCTCTTGTATGGCTCAGAGACTTGGCGCGTCACGAAAGGTATTTCCAATAAACTACAGACATTCATCAACAACTGCTTACGCTCGCTGCTGAAGATCAGATGGCCAGAAAAAATAAGCAACAAGGAACTCTGGGAACGAACCAACCAAGAACCTATCACGCAACAAATATGCAGGAGGAAGTGGAGATGGATTGGCCATGCACTGAGAAGGCCGACGGAGGACATCACGCGTCAGGCCCTCGAGTGGAATCCCCATGGGAAGCGACGAGTTGGGTGTCCCAGCTGAGGGTGACATGGAGGAGGTCGTGCGAGCAGGAAATGAGAGCTTCTGGGCTGTCGTGGGATCAGGTTCAAAAGATCTCAGAGAACAGAGGTCACTGGAGGCGTGCTACTGAAGCCCTATGTTCCACTAGGAACCCAAGGGACTAATAATAATAATAATAATAATCTCCAAGAATAAAAACTTCTTTTGTAAAGAAGGCTGTTTTGAATTAACTAATTCTTAGTAAATTTTAATTTTTAATGCGTAACGCTTGACGAAAGCCACTTTGAAACAAACTGACTTATTTCATTATATCGCATATTCTAAACAAACATAATTGAAACTGTTGTGTGTATACTGTGTTTCATGTATACACTGTTGCATACAGTCAGAATCCAGATGAAGACGTGGTGGGTTAGTTCGCTAGACTAACGCCTAGGTATAGATAATAAAGTAAACCGGTTTGTTAAAGATGACTTTTCAGATTTCGTCAAATATAAAAGACTTTTGTAAATGTAGATGCAGGATCAATTAAGTAGCTTGAAATCGTAAAGGTTGATCGCATTCGTCAAAGTTTCTCTTGTAACTCAGTGACAGTTTGGGATCTTTCTTCATAAGACGTTGTTTGTATCAATTAGATTGCACTCCCAAGTATTAGAACTCAACCAGCATTTACAGAAAGATGATCGTTTGTCTACAACTAGACAAATGATCTTCGTTTACAAGCATATTATTCTGTAACCAGTTGCTCACTGATAAGGTTAGCGTGATTGGTGGATTCTTCCCTTAAAGTAGTTTGAGTTTCTTCAGATTTACAGATCCGCGTTTTTAATCTGTGATTATCATGCCTGAATTATGTCAGTCACCACATTTTAATCTTTCCTTCGGATTGATTATTTTGATCACGAGTACATTTAGTTTGTCGACTACCTGAGCTTTAAGAACAAGTAAGGACGATTATTTCTCAAACTAAGCAATTTTAGTTATGTTTTGTTATGTCAATCAACATTTACCGGAATCCTAAAACAACTGACCAATCCTCGTCATTATCAGTAATGAAGCTTTTATTTAGATATGTGTTTGAACTTTCATTCTGTTTCAGTTTCACCACTGCTACTTCGCTTAGATTGTGTTTTACTACTTTTAGAAATGGAGGAATATATTCGATAAAGACAATACCGGTCAAATAACATTTCTTCATTTTGTGAAGTTCTTGGTGTTAGCAAGAAGAAAAGAGAGTAAGAAAACTAACGACTTTGAAATTATGATTGTCAGATTTTTAAAAATTTATTTCAGTGTCCATCAAAACCCCTGTTTAAACAGCTTTGCGTGTACGCAACGCCTACGATAAAATAATATTTACATAAAAATTAAATAGTACATAGTCTTGGATGAATCATCTAACGACAGAAGTGAGTCATTCTGTAGTCAGGTTCTTACGGGTGACAGGACAACCCGTCTAGCCAACTTTACAGTCGAGTGTCGGAAGCAACACATGATGACATGACGTTTGTTTGCTACAGGAAGACGTCCTTAAAAATAGTGTGTTTATTTTGATTACTAGGTTCATTGTGTAATAAAATGAGATTGAGATAAGCCATTACCTCTAATATATGCAGCAATAAATTTATACCATTGGCTGAAGGAAATACCCTTGAAAATAGACAAACAATTTACTCTCATAGAGATTTATTTCTTCACGGTAAAGCATCTCAAAAATGCAGTCAGTAGACCAAATGTTTATTCGATTGTCCTAGAAGCATTAATTTTCACAATCACTCAACACTTCCGTCATAAGATTTGTAACGCGAGAATTTTGATCAAATAATCCGAATGTCCCTTAGGTTTATATTATGCAAGACGAAAATATGATATGAAATTTGATACTTCAGCCACTGAATCATAATGGATTACCAGTGGTATATGAGGGAGCATGTTTCCGTAATTTAGCTACACTGATTGGCAGCGTTCTTCACCTCCACCACAACTTTATGTCATTGAGTTATTCATTTAGTAGCAACATAGAATGTAGTAATGCCGCGTAATTGTTCAACCTGCCACACGACTAACTAGTGTGTTAAGGCAGAAAGCACCTATATAAAAGATAAATTTGGAGGAATGTAACCGAAAGTTGTAGAAAGCTATTAGAATTGAGGAGGGGATAAAAAAGTAACGCTTTATGTGCTTACTCCTAATAAGTCTATTGTGAGTAAATACAAGATTTGATCTCCTTGTTTTTTTGTTGTACATGCAGTCTGTGTTCACAGATGGGAGAATTGACCACTCTTTTCACCATTAAACTGGGATATCATAAAAATATCCAACTAAGTTTCATACACTATTGAGAGGCGTAAGGCGTTAAAACTGTGAGTAGCTTTGACCATGTACACTTTTGCATACGTCAATGAACATGATTTTGATATTACAGGTTGAATCTGAGAGAAATTTAACGAGGAATTTTGTTTTAATTTTTACTTGTCTTTGGGTTTAGGAAATAACAAACTTCATTTTAACGAGTACGATGACGGCAGCGAATACGATTTTGCTGATTTGAAGTGAATTGGTAGCTTCACTGAGGTAACCTGAAAGGCGATTTTACGCAGGGAGGCTGAGCTTCAAATCAGCTTCAGTATGCGAAAACGTAATATAAACACAGGACAGTCTCAGAAAGCTCTTACTCAACACAATGATTTGTCGATTTCAGTTAGATCAGGCTTAGATACGAATGCTATGTGTAGGTTACTGCATTCTGTTAAATTTTTCAGTCAGATTATGTATTCAGTATCATATGAATCATACTTGTGCATCTTAAGTGGCACTTATCCTTCTAATAATGCAAAAATTAATCTTCTGTTTCATGAAGACAAGGAAACTGAAAGAAGTATTATTAATCACACCTACTTGCTCAGTGTTTTACCAACTGTGTTGACAAAAATGTAGGAGCAGAAAAGGAGCCTATGGTTGCTGGAAAATTTTATTGGTAGAGAAACGTCACCCTTTTTGAGATTAAGGTAATTTCTGATGAACAGTCGGTGTTGAAATGTTGTCAGATGTGCGCTGAAACTGCTAAATAAGTGTAAGCTCGAACTTTAATACTTGCTTTTAAACACCTTATGCCAAGTTCAGGCTTTTCAAATTATATGCATTTACACATAATAGTCACTTACTATTTCATTTCGTTTCTTCTGTAGTGAAATACTAAGAGAAAGGAAGATAACAACCTGGAATTTAACACCAAAACCGGTTATTTATTCGAGTAATCTAGATCCACAAATGGAGAAGAAAATCACTGAGATCTTAGAAAGGCTCTGGAAAGAAGATAATTTTGATTCTAGTCTGTTCGATGTTACTGTCCAATGTGATCGTGAGATTGGTCCGCGTTGGAGAGGTCGTCTTATAGAAGATACAAAGCCTGTAAATGAAGCAGTCAATGGAAAATATTTAGTGTTTAGTTGTGACGATGGCAAAACTAAAGGTTGTTTATGGTTAGAGAAGGAAAGTAGAAACCGACCTGGAGGATGCTGTTGTTGTTAAACATGTGTCCTTCTTACACAAAATAATAAAATACGTTAACTTTTACTTCGTGTTTCAAATCATTATTACAAAGTAACAGTAATACTGGTGGTGAACGTTTCTCAGTTATAAAAATAACCATTGAAAGTTTTTATTAAAAAAATATCAGGGAGCAGATGTTTTCAGCTCTTCAGTCTCATTATGGAAAATAACATGGTGGTAAACTATTTTCCGCCATAAAAAGTGGCAGTGGTTATTGACATTCACTTACACTGAATCAAAATAAGGCTCCAACATACTTCTGAAGCAAGGCTAGATAAAAAAGGGAGAGAGAAGTGATTAAGTAAGAGAAATTTTCCAACACTTTTCTGAATACCAACTTAAAATCAATAAATCCCCACAAACTCACAAACTGAATTAATCTGGTGCTCGTTGGTGACTAGCTTAGAGGGGTAATTTCTGAGGTCCCAATGAGAAGTCATGACCGGTGGGGCAAACCTGGTGGGCATGAGGACAAATGCTCAATGATGACATTGGGTGATGGTCACACTATGCCGTGAACTGACAGAAGTTGGAAATACAGACCATTAGATTCCTGTGTGGTAGCTCAGTGGTAACGTGCTGACCGCGGAACCCGAAGGTTTCGGGTTCAATCGCTGATGGGATCGTGAGTTTCGTACTGCTAAGGAGTCCTATACTAGGACTAAACAACTGTCCAGTCCTCCCAGGTTACCAATGTTCCTCCAACTGATGTCAGTCGGTGATGAATTGCAACTTGAAATCACTAAATCCTCATAAACCCTCAAATTGATTTATTCTGAAACTTTAAATACTTTAAGATGATTCTGCAGGCAACAGATCTATTGAGTAACATTAGACACTGAGAGAAGTTGAAGATGAACACTCAAAAAGTAGTTTCAGCCATAAATTATCTTGATCGACATGGTATTTTACAAAATCGTGATAAAATCAAGGTGACCAAAGAATGTGATGTTAAGTGAAAGGATAAAGTACTGAAAACCTAGTCCTATAAAACTCATAAAAATAAATCTTCTCTATACAATTCTTTCACTTCAAAATTTTAAATAGAGGAGGAACAATAGCTTTAGCAGGTTAGCATAGATCCGTTTTATTTCTAAAACAATCTTAACACCAATTTATACCGGCTGTTTGCATACTGGAATCAGTTTGATAGAAAATTGTGGGCTTGAACTAAGGTTATCATCCATGTGAAGTAATTGGAAACCTGAATTCGGTAAATAAATATGCAGAATTAACACGTCAATATACTATCCCCTTATTCGGCAAGTGTTAAGAATTTATCATAGCTTTCAGTTGTTTCCCACTTGATCCAATTTTTCCGTCAGGGTTAGCCTGTATTATTTCCGATCAAGGGATTAAGTTACTCACTATACTGAACATTTTAGCCCACCAGTTTAGTTGCTCTCCAAATTCGGGTTAATCTGCAAGAATCCTCTGCTTTCAAAGCTAAATATCATCACTGATGGAAATTTAACATAAGACCTTTGAATGGATCGAGTGAGCTTATTGACTATTATTTAAGCATCAAACGCTAACTACTCACGCGAATTATGACATGCACTTGAATATAAGTTGATGAACGTTTTGGTGTTGTTTTCAAGCCTACATTCAGTAGCCTATTAGAAATGTGTTCAGTTAAAAAATGTATGAGAAATGCATCAACTGAGAAACGTAAGTATATTATTATTATTTATTATTTGTCCCTTGGGTTCCTAGTGGAACGTAAATGTACTCTACCAATATTGTAAGATTGTGTTAATTCGCTTTAATACTGTTTAAATGAAGTGTTCATGCCTAACTTTCATCATAATGAACATATACTAGATCAGTGTTATATATTTTAGGGATGTAGAATACTGGACTATTCTGTCAGAGCTGTTTTGTTTCTGTATTGATACCAAGTCAAAACAAAAATAAAATTACATATTTTCATGAGCCTTTGTTACTAGTAATCTATCTCGTACAACTAATTCTCAAGTATTACTTTTTCTTCCAAGTGTTAATAATAGTCTAACTATACCTTATACAGTATTTTTACCCTCAAAAATTGTTTCAAGAATACATTTACAAGTTTTCAAGAAAAATAGACGTCTATAGTAGATTTTATTACGGAAATGGAAAACCAAACTCTCAGATTATCTATAAAATCCAGAGTCAACAAGTTGAGCGTTTTTACAAGCAATAAAAGGTTAATATATGTACAAAACTCGAAACTTCAGGTATCCAGGTGTTTAGCAGATCCTCAAAGATAAAGTCAGTAAATTGTATCTAAACACAAATGAGGAGTGTTTATATGTCTCCAGTGGATAATTACAGTTGACCAAGAAAGGCCAAGCAATGCAAAGGGTGAAAATTAGGTAATTAAATTATGGTAACAAATATTTACATATGAAGCTAATAGAACGAAGAGTAATATCATCGAGGACAAAGAAGAAAAACCAATACACTGGAATAATAAAAGGATATTTGTGAGATCTTATTAATGACCAGCAAAGTATAACACTTAAAGATTCCCACAGCAACAATTAACAGCAATTTGAACGGAAAATATCCTTTTCAGTAAATTCTCGTTAGGTTGTACGGTTATAAATTAGAATAATACGACGTCGAAATGCCTAGTTTGAGGCAAACATATTTTCAAAATAGAATGTAGGTTAGGGACTGTGAAGAAATCGATCGTTCTCTTTACGTCTGTCAGTATTGTCATGACATGTATACAAATGAATCATGTGACGGTGAGTGAAAAGAAAACGAATAACAAAGACAAGAATGGACTTTATTTTACTGAAGGCCAGGAGAGGTATGACGCTTGAACATAATCTTACCGAATACACAGTTCAGGTTTGATCAGTCTTATTGAGATCACCTCAGCTACTTTGAGTAGACGTCGGTGAGCAAAATGTGGTATTGTTTTTAGAATACCATGTGTTTATTAGCATCTATGCGATACCCCGTGTCTACTGGGTATGCTACGATGGAAATTTTCAATACTTTCACTTTGCCCTTTCAAACCAAGTCGGTAACGCACCTGTATATGTAACTTTTTTCACAGGAACAGTTAAATTGACATATGCAAGATGAGGAGTTAGGGCTGAGCAGGCTATAATTTGACCTCAGTTTGGGGATTGGACAGCTACTGAACAATATGCAAGGACGGCCTGAATAAAACTTTCTGCTTACCGCTCTAGTTAGGCGTTGGGATAAGATGTCACTTAGAGTCTCATCAATGAATTGTATTCCCAGAAACACAGGCTTCTATTGCTCTGCCATCACTTCAAGTTTGGGATTACTGCAAACGATTTTTACTTTGAAGAACTTTTCAGGGCATCTGTTTTCACTTAGAAATATGATAGATACACAATAGTTCTTTTTCTCACACTCCTTGAAACAAATCAATCTTAACATTAGATATAGAATTGTATTTGTGTAAATCACAGAGGGTTTGAAATCAAATAATTCCAACGTTTCACATGGAAGTCTGATCCGAGCTTCTTTAGGGAAATAATCAAAATTAAAATATCAAGGATATGTAAATGAATTCAGAAAACGTGTATTTAATCTCCTCGTCCAATCCTCTTCGTATAGTCATTGTCTTTCTAAATTATGATGACTAATCATTCAGTGTGAACTTGTATATCTTTTGTTGTATGGTGTATGTATGTATGTGTGTAATAATTTTCTAATTTTTTAACTGTTATTTTCTACCCTTCTCCCTCACACCCTGTGTCACCTGTTGTCCAATTAAAATAGACGATGAAATATCCCATGTTATTGGCTGCACGAATTTCAAAGGTACTATAAAAAGGAGCAAACTGAGGACGAGTTGCTTCGTTTTCATGATGAGCGACGATACCGCCCAAGGTGTTGTAACCGAAAACGAATCGATTTTTATGGAGCATTTTCCTCTCACCGCGTTTCCTTCCCCAGAATCTTTGAAGGTCGCCCTGAAGGAGTATGAGAAACAGACGTACACACACTACGTTGTGCAAGATTCACATTTGCAAGGTGACTAAAGAGCTTACGTTAAGTTTGCTATAAGGCTAGTGAACACCAGTCAATAGGTGGTGTAGTGACAAGAAGGTCAGTTCTATTTGTTTTCATTATTTACTTCACAGAATATCCATGAAATGTTCTTGCCGCGCGTTCGTGCTCGCGAAGTTCTTATAAGGTTTCTGGACAGTTACTCGGTGGCTGTTAACTCACAATCATCCCTGCAATTCACTGCTTTATGACAATAGTTCGTGGGCGCGGAAGTTGACAGGAGCTGAATTGAAGAGCATAAGGCTATTGCTGATAACCGGAACGGCTGCATTTAATGTTGCTGATTTCGTTTATGCACACTATGGTGAACGATTGAATAATCAAGATGTGTTCAATATGCGCTATCGCCTCTTCGCTAAGTGTAAATTGACCGGTAGTTGAAATTGCCCTTGTAACGATGTTGTTGTAGGCAGTTATCAAAAGTTGCAGGTGCATATAATCAGTCAAGGAGGATCAGCATCCTTCTCTGTCACAGAAGGTGGAGATCTGAAATCTTTTTTTTCGCTACAGCCGATCAGCTGAAAGTAGCTGAAAACTGTCTTGATCTACTGGATCTCGATGGCACTTACAAGACTAATAATGAGAACCTTTTTTTCTACGAGTTAG